CTCACCATCATGTGCATGCATGAATAAATTAGCGTATAAAATGAGATAATTCAAGTGATTGGAAAAACATTTGAGAAAGATCGCATGAAAAATCGACGTAAATTTTGGAAATGGTGAGCAATGAAAATGGTCAGCATTTGACTAATTGGTACAACAGCATATCAAAAATTTCATCGCATTTTACTCTACAGTCCATGAATTATTTAAAATTCAACAGCAAGTCAATTATTTTCCTCCAAACTATATAATTTCTCCCGATATTCACCGAATGGAGAAGTATTCAGAGCATAAAACATCTCCCCTACCAAAATTCCATATGCTTAAACATTTTATCAAATAACGGATAAATTAAATGAATCCAAGGCATTGAGTAAATTTCGAAAATTAGAGTGATGGAAGTTGAACAAAATCCAGAATATATTCCACAACTCTATCAATCATTCAATGCCTCCGTGGGATTAACTACCATCTATTAAATTAGTGATTGAGAAACTGAATAAGCAATAATCAATCATTGAGCAGCGACCCTAAAAAACAGCTGTAAATCCCGTTACACATTCCCAACATCTGGTTCATCGAAATAATTCAGATTTCTCTCGAAAAGGGATTTATCCTCTGTGTCATCTGCAATGATACCGAGCATCCAATAACCACTGCAATTGGAAAATATTGTCAGAATCATTCAATTTCAATAAACTGCTATTCTAACCTAAAATTGATCGAGTAATTAAATTCATCCCAAGCGGATAAACTCCAAATTTTGTATTAATTTTAAGAGTAATTCTTCAACTTTTAAAAATAGGCGTAATTTATTTCAGTTATAATTATTGATTAGGACATATTGCCGATTTAATACGATTCATTATTTTTAGACTTCACCCTAAATCATTCATTCGCTGTAATAAATAATTCCTGATAAATGTTATTAACAGACTCTTAATCAGCTATCGGTAATGAATGCTATAAATAGCTCTTCGTCGCCACAATTCAGAGCTGAAAATACCAGTCGACCGTCGATGGAATGAAGAAAGAAGACTGAAAAACCCCTTGATCGCAGAAAAACCTAAAGACCGAAAGGAAAATTTTGGATAATCCGACTGTGTGACTAATTTCGCGAAATTTCAGTCACTTTCCAATTTCCAATCATGTCACCTTGAATCGATTTTCAATTAAAAACGGTCAGTAAATTTCTCATTTATCCTGAAGTTTAAAAAAAATGTATTTTTAATGTTCAATGATCATTGATTTTTTAATGAAAACATGAATTTTCATGCTCATCGTAAAAATTCAACATTCAATGCAATTAAATTTCCAGTAAAATTTGAAATTCAGGGAAATTATTGCATGAATTTTTCATATTTTCAAGATTTTTCACTGCATATGGACCTGAAAATTGAGAATTACAAGAATGAAAAAAAAATCAAATGATTCGTCAATGCAGAATCCTACAAAAATTATCCTATTTTTTTTATTATCCTACAAAATGTCAATTTTTTTTACTTCAAATTTCAAGTGTTATTTTCCGATATAGTACCCAATAAAACGTGAAAAAAAAAATTTCATCACACAGGAGTAGTTTGTAGGCAGAAAAGTTGAGCCATTGAGAAAGATCGTTACATCAAGCGAAATCAATGGGGGGTGAAAGTCGATACGGAAAGCCTGACGATTGAATCAACCAGTTCAATATGACCCACACTGGAAATGAAAAAAAAAAAAGTAAACCTTGCACGTACATGAATGTACATCGGCTAGAAGCAGTAGGCTGCAAAGTACGAAGCCAATACCAACACGATTCGCTCTCGATTCTTCACTCCTCGTACCACCGAACCCTCATTCGCTTCCCAATACGATAAGTTTACGTTTGCCATGATTTATTGAATTCAATAGACGCTATTTAGCAGATTATTCTTTTGAAATAAGCATTCTCCATAAAAAAAGTCTCCATGAACTGTATTTTAAATCTGAGGACGAATGAAATAAAAATTATTTGATAAAAATATCGAAACGCCAGGGTGATACCGAAATTGTTTTCTGAACCTTCTTTATAGGGGTAATGGAGAACAGTGGAAGAGGTTTAAGAGAAATTAGGCTATTTATGTTTGATTTTCAGATTTTCAGCAAAAACAAACCAATTTACTCTACAGTTGTCTGGGAATAATATTGTACGAGACCGCGCACTACTGCGCACTCCGTGCGCCGAATTTGAATTTGGCGGTTCGACTTGACCAATGAGGAATTAGTCCTACGCGTTTCGAGATATTTCGACGCAGGCGAACTTCATTTTTGTGTTTCTACTTTCATAATAAGGAAATTCGAAGACTGTTTAATTGTGACGTATCATTTCATTCCTTATATCTGGGGATCAATAATAATGAATATGGTTAAAGTGGAATAATAGTGATGAGTTAAACCAAATTTGATTCACATTCTCACCTCATACTATTCCCATTTGAGGATAGAACAAATGCAGCCAATTTTACATTTGGTTTTTTACTGGAATCTTTAAACTATTGAGGAACAGTATATGAAATTAAGGCTTAATCACGAGCGCAGTTAATTTGTTATAACGTTATGAAAACAGGTAATTAGTGTTTTTATGAAAACTACAAAAAATTAAGGAAAAAATGCAGCCAAGGTCATGAAATTTTGCATGCATGTGAAATATCCAATTGTTAATCTTTGAGCAAAAAATCGTGTCAATCGCGAGCGTTGTTTATGGAAGATCATGAATAAACCATCAATAAATCTGAATTTTCGTCTGAAATGGGCGAAAATTCATCGCTATAGTTCATTTTCGTCCGGTCATACTTAAATTTAAACTAATTGTTGATCTTCTGTATCACTTCTTATGGTATCGGATTGATTTTGGGCTACACGCGTGAGGAATCTGACCAAGATTATTGGAATGGACATAACTCCGATACCACCAAATAGGATCTTTTTCATGCGGACTACCACATATTCCGGCTATTCGGAGGCAGAATATTAGAATAAATGTGCCACAATTCCAACGATTTCATAGAAAGTTTGAAACAAATTCTGAAAAAAACTACCAACAGAAGAACAATCCATACATCGATAAAAAAATACGATTAAAATGACCTAAAATTCGTAACAACGAAAAATGACCGGTTCAGTCTTTGTAATAATTAATCTTTTCGATCTATTGAAAATTCGAGAGAATTTATGGTAGAAATAGCAAGAAATGTCTTAAATATAGATTTGAAATCATTTTAGCAGGCGATAAACATTGATGAAGAGTTTGGGAATCAATTTTGAGAATGATTATTTATTAAATATAAAATTTAATACAAAAAGGAGAAGGAAAATCGATCTCGAAATATCTCGAAATATCTCGAAATATCTCGTAAGATGGTAACACAAGACTCGTCAGATGAAATCGACCGCCACCACGACCTTGTGGCTAAATTCAAATATTTAAGTAAAAATATATAATAAATCAAACATTTCAAATGAAAGGGCGTGCGAAGCACGTGC